CCCCCCAGTCCGCTCCATTTTCCAAACCCCCTGTTTATTATTTTCCAGCTTGCCACGACCGACTATCATGTGAAACATATTCTAATTTTTTTAATGAAACCTGTCATAGTAACTTACTAAAAGCACTATAAGTTCATGATCTCTTGTTCTTTTATTCACTGAAGGAGAAATAAAACAGATTTGTTCCTACTAGTAGAGGGGTATGAGGTTGAATGTGCCATATTAATTTTGAACCACTTGTCCACCCACGTCCTCTTTTATTTCTACTACCCGTTTATTCGATATCATAGAGTAGAACATTATAATAAATAAGTAGTGGGCACGTAGAACGTTATAATAAATAAGTACTCGAACATTAAGTAGAACGTTATAATAAATAAGTACTCGAACATTTAGTAGAACGTATACTAAATAAGTAGTGGGTAGGTAGAACGTTATAATAAATAAGTAGAGGGACCCCAGGAAGAATGTTTTAATAAATAAGTTAACAGACATCATTTTGGGACATTATAATAAATAAGTAGAGGGACATTACGTTGGAGGGAACCACGCATGAAGTTCAAATTTGAAGTCCATCTCCGATACGACCGAGCCAAATGGGTGGAGATCCCTAAAGATCCTCTAAAACAACCGAGGTTGAGAACACCTAGTCAGAGATTCGAACCAAGGTCATCCACTCCAAAGCCAAGCATGACACCATCTAAACTGACGGTATGCCCCATTTATTTGAGCTGAATATCGTCTCATTCAACAGAAATAAAATATTGAAGACTTTCACGTACGCTAGGCTGTTTTTGTGTAGCGCAAAACAAAACCAAAAAAAGATTAAAATTAAAATTAATATTTTAAAAAACCCACCCCACCCATCCCCTCAGCAACCCGCCCTTCCTCTCCGAAAAAAACACAAAAACACAACAACCAACAAACAACAACAACAACAACAACAACAACAACAACACTTAGAAACTCTAGCCTAGAGGTCTCAAGCTCAAATTACCTGCTAGGTTAGAAAATAATTATAATAATATTATCGCCTGTGCCGCACCAAGTATTCTACAAATAAAATGTTTCAAGGATTATTAACTATTTTTACAAAGTTACAGATTCTTCTCAGTCCTTATGAACAGCAATTCTGAAGATAATCGGTTCTTCAGAACATAATATCAATATCAATA